TAACGGGTAGCGGGACCCCTATGGACCCCCACGGATACTAGTAGGCTGGTAAATGAGAAAAAGATATGTTGTATAATGATTGAATTACAAGAGGCGTGATAAGTGTTATGTTTTACAGCTTATATTATTCCATGATTATGATAATGTTATTGTTTTTCTTATATTGTTTTCATAAATTCCACCGAGGTAAGTGGATGGTAAAAGGTTTTATCATAAATAAAAGGATTTGTTGTAAAACATGCTCCATGGGTCCTTTGCGTTTTCTACCCACCTTTACCTCCGTGACGGTGAGATATCGTGATGTTCTTACTGGGCTAGTGTAGCTCACTCCTTATTTAACCATTTCAGATCAGGAAGACATGGTTCCCGAGCCCGTTCCGCAGGAGGACGACGAAAGGGATGCCTAGAGACTCTGTAGTCATACTCACAGCTTTATTTTTGAGTTTCTCTTTTAGTTAGTTTAACCTTTTATATTTTAAGTACGTTTTTGGTTTTCGTGTAAGGGATTTTAACTGAAATTTTGATCTCGCTTCCGCATTTGATATATTTAAATACTCATTTCATTTTAACATTTCCGGGGTCGTTACAATTATTGCCTATCTAGGGGATTAAGCTGCAAAATTTCGAGCAATACTTCCTATATAGGGAATTAACATGTTGTTGCTTGCCCTAGCTTTTATACTTCGCTATATATATGCTACCCATGTTGACAATGTCAATAATTTAAAAAAGATTATCTCTTGCACATTTTTTTTAAACAAATTTGTCTTGGTTGCTTCATGCACACTAGATCAGAGTTCCACAAAAATTAATTTATTCAAAAAATTAAAAATCATCGTCGTTTCTATTAAAAAGAAGATCAATCACTGAAATTACCACTAATTTAAATTATTTTTTTTTTAAAGATTTAAACTGATACGGAGTAGTAGGAAGTTAAAAAGCATCTACCCAATAATATAAACTAATTAACTAGATGTAATCTGCATACATTAGAAAACCTAATTATTGTGCGGTGTGGCATCCACCACTTTACCATTTAGTATTTGCACATCATATTCATGGGATGAATTTCAAATACATATAAAACAATTAACAAAAAATAAAATTAAAACCTAAAGCGTCTACCGATTTTAGTTTTTGATACTCTCATCAGCTCGATAAAGCTCAAAACTTATTATTATTCCATCAAAAGCACATCAACACAGATTTTTTGGAATTAGTAAAATGATAACCAAATAAATCTACAAACTTTGCCAATCTACAAGCATTCTCTCAATATTTGCTTTCATCTTTTTGAAAACCAGAAGTTCTTGAGCTTCCGATTTTAGTTTGCGGAAACGATGCCGTTTCATTCATGAATGCAATGGGCTTTTTAACGACATCGTCTGGGGCAAGCAGGTGCTGGGCTGGATGTGCGCAGGGCTAGGCTCCATTAGACTGGTATGGGCCTTTTACTTTTTCTTTCCTTCTTTTTTCTCCCTTTTGGCGGGCAGGGCTTCATCTTCTTTCTCCCTTTTCTTTTTTCTTTTCTTCTTCCATCTTTCATTATAATCTTGATTCATGATTTCCCATGATTACAACTTCTTCCGTACCCATTACAAATTAAGTTAATTCTAATTCAATCAACCAAAAACTGTAATTAGTTTTTACAGTAGTGTAACTTAAATGTACAGACTGTATGTATTGCGTGTTTTCATTAAAAAATTATACATTATGTACGTAATTATTAGAAAATTGTATTATTATTGGTATTCAAATTTCATCGTATTAATAAAATGTATGTTAAAAATATTAATTTTTGAACAAATACAATGTAACAATCTTTAATGCCTAGACGTATCATTTTGATTAGTTTCTTAAACTTTTGATTAACACAGACCTTAAAATATTTTTTTGAGTGAAGTTTATATATTTGATGGGTTACATATCCTATTTAATAATAGTTGTGGAGTTTTTTTTGACAAAAAGTTTAAAAATATATTTGACATCTCGTGGTTAGGTGTCATTTTTTTGACAAATTTCAACAATTTATGTGTATGTATTATTTTTTTAATAAATTTTAGGACATCTGGTGATTAATTGTTATTTTTTAAATAATTTTTTTGTGATATTTCGTGGTTAGATATCATTTTCTTGATAAATTTATAACACATCATGGCTAAGTGTCATTTTCTTAATAAATTTATAGCACCTCGTGGTTGGGTGTCATTTTTTTTTGTGACAAATTTACCACAACTCATGTGTACATGTTATTTTCTTGATAAATTTTAGGACATCTTGTGGTTAACTGTAATTTTTTTAATAATTTTTTATGATATTTCGTGATTATATATTATTTTCTTATAAATTTATGATATATCGTGATAAAGTATCATTTTCTTAATAAATTTATAACACTTCGTGATTAGGTGTTATTTTTTAGAGTGTTCTAGAACTGTTTGTTGTTCAAGAGTTGTTTGTCATTTTAACTCTTTTTCATGAACTGTTTAACAACTCTAAAATGATATATAAATAGCCAAAATATATTTTTTGAAAAGATAATTATAAATTATTTTAAAAATTAATCTTACAAGTTAAATTTTATTAAGATTAGCTCTAATATGGGAACAAAAAATTGATATAATCATTTTATTTATAAATTGTGATATAAATAAGAGATTTTTAACGAGGACAAATACATTTACAACAGTTGTCAAGATGGCTCGCCGCATTTCATGTTCATGCCGCTGCAGTATGAAATAGATTTATCAACTCCCCGTTCAGAACAAATACACCGGGGATGAAGACTAATTGATTGTTTGCAATAATAAGCTTTACAATCATCATCAACTTTACAAGGCACTCCTTCTACTGTCAATACCTAATAACATATACGAGCAAAATACTTAAATTTCAATAATAAAAATATAAATTAAATTATGTTATAAGAAAAAGTTATACGGGTGTTATTGTATATGTGTATGTGTAAGAGAGAGAGAGAAGACTCACGCGAGGCATGAAAAACAAAAGGGTGAGGAGCTGTGTTGACTCGAGAATTGCTCTCTCCATTACCTTCGTCGTTAATGAATAGCTTGTTGTAAGAGATTGATTTGCTTTATGATTTCTGGTGGTCTCACCAATTAATTTAATATTTATTAATAGGTTTAGAATTATATATCTTTACAGTCAAGAATAACGTTTAATATGAGAATCTCATATGTATAGAATACATTTTATGAGGGATACATGCAATCATGATTCATGATCATAGAAATCTTTCGTAATTTTTAAGAAAATTCTGTCTGTGTATATGTATATGTATATGTATACATATTAAGTATGGAAGTATCCATGATAATAGAAATCTGATAATTTTTAAGAAGATTGTTTGTGTATATATATACACATATATGTATGTATATGTATATAGATTAAGTACGGAAGTAGCCATGATCACAGAAATCTGATAATTTTTAACAAGATTGTGTCTACAATATATATATATATATATATATATGTATATATAAATTATGGAAATATTCTTCACCATCAAATCCAACATATTTACATAACACTTCCCTGGATATGTCTTCCATTTTTGTTATATTTGCATAAGCCGCAGAAAATGTGTCTATTACCCTCTTAAAATTCAGAGACTCCATATTATTTAAAAAAACTAGCATGTATCTCCGGCTATCCTAAAAATGGCAATTGGTTGTCTTGGACTTCAGAGAGAATTGGGTAAAACTCAAAATCTATCCAATTTTAAATACACTAAATTTGAACC